TGCCACTGTACAATGTAACACCCACTTTTCACTATTTATGTTATGAGTCCCTTGTAATAGGGGGTGAGTCTATTGCCATATACCGAGCACAATTCCAGATTCCGTGCTACTACTGAGATTTTTTTAAAAACCCAGTAATACTTTGCTCGACCCGGGAATCGAACCCGAGACCCCTTGGCCGGCAGTTACACTTGCGACCTCTCGGCCAACGAGGCAGTCAAGTCGGCAAAAAAGTTTTTTTTAATTTATTTTAGTTTAACCTTTGTAATATCAAAATAGGTACAAATCATCGGACTACGGACCACAAAACTCGCTCAATAAACGAGCAATATGAGAGAGAATTCAGGAAAGTTCGAAAATAAAAGGTACGTAGGTGGAATCTAAATATGTCCACGTCGAATCGCTAATGTACGGTGTAAAGCTCAGGGCAGACTGGAGGGTATAACCAAATGTCTGGCCCAAGAAAGTGGAGAGGAGCGGGTTAGGAGCACAACAGGAAAATGGTGAGAAAAATAAAGTACATATAAGTACAGTAAATGTATGTGTAGATGAATAACAAGAGCATCTAGATCAAGACTATCTATCAGGAACTAGATCAACAATATGAAAATCTATGAATAAAATTGTTTCTTGATGGTACTATCATTTTGCCCTAATGTGGATGGATACAAATGGATTCCAAAATATTCTAACTTGGGTATAATGGAATTCTTTCAACCACCATAATACTCACTAATTCTTAAATAACAACATTTAATTTTATCGTTATAGCATGGAAAATGAACTTGAATTTTTTACAATTAAACTTTTTTTTTGAACGTTGCACCACACTTGGACTTTCTCCTGTGTCGTGGGTGCGTTTACAAACTTACAAATTCACATACATATGACACCCAGACCCGGAACAACAATCTGTGGATCACACAAAGAATTGTTCCGTGCGGGAATCGAACCCGCGACACGTTGCAACCGTGCAGTCATACTACAATAACTACTACATAAAACTAAAGCCAAATCCCTTAACTTAACCCTTGAACCTAAAACATTAACAAATTGAATCCATCTGCTACGGCTGCGGCGTACCTCACTTCGTGGTGCCTGCACAGATTAATAGACTCGTCTCTTATATTTGTTATTTCAAATCCCAACTTAAAACGGCGTTTATATTGATTAGGAATGCCCATAAAACCTCAATAGGGGAACCATCCCATGACATTGAATTACTTATAATTATATTAGACTAATCGTTTTGTTGAATATAGCGTTGAAAATTGTAATGACATTATTTTATATTAAGTAACAATCAATTGGGATGGTTTAGTCTTAATAAGCGTTTCTGACGCCATGTTCGTCGAATTAGATTTTTTCTGGAGATTAACAGTAATTTATAATCAAGGGATGGAACGCTATGTCAGAAAGTGAGCCAATAGGGACTTAATGAGTAAATCGAAGACATATTTTGGAATCGATCAATTCATTCCATAACCGCCGATGGACGCAGATTTTCTATAAGAATAGTCAAGACGATGAGAGCGAGCGATTCAAGGAAGGCTTATAATATACTAGTCTATTATGCCCTGCATCTCCTAAAGCACATATCAGACAATCTTTTCACCGTGTGTTATTCCGTATATAGTCGCTCACGTAATCTGAAACGTCTTAATTGCGAGGTCGGAACCAACCCTTCGTTACTCAAATGCATGCCAATTTTAACCCGTGACAAACCACGGTCGGTCCTTAATAGCCACTTTTTCGTATCTGTCATCTTAGCACCGCCAGACCATTTTGAACTTAAAAATTGTTGAATAAAAGTTACTTTTTGTTTGGTTTACGAATTGTAACAGTCGTGAGTTCAATGTCTAATTAACACCTCGGGTTGGAGATAAATTGTGGCGATAGTGTTTTGCCGTGGCGTTGCGCATTGCTTTCAGTGAGATATGCAATGTACGCCGTACTTATTGAGTATCGAAAGTAGGGAAATTTTATCCGGTGGACTTTTGGTTCTAGAATCAGTTTTCAAGATTAGTTTTTGTAAAATAGTTTATAGAATTAGATTGTTAGAAACAAAGTGACATTTTAACTTGATGTGCAAAATAGAGCATAGAGAGAGTTGTCTTTAAAATAACTACCAGTCTTTTAAGAAAGCATGATTTATCAAAATCTTTAAAGATAGCCTGCAGTTGCCTCGATGGCCAAGTGGTCACAAGTGCGACTGCCGGGCAAGGGGTCTCGGGTTCGATTCCCGGGTCGGGCAAAGTGTTACTGGGTTTTTAAAAAAAAAATCTAAGTATTAGCACGAAGTCTGGAAATGTATCCGGTATATGGCAATGGGCTCACCCCCTATTACATGGGACTCATAACATAAAAAGTGAAAAGTGGGTTTTACTTCTGTGTGCACCTCTGCCTACCCATTCGGGGATAAAAGGCGTGATGTTATGTTTAAAGATACCCGATTTTTCTTTTTGAAGACAATCGATGTATTTTACTTAATTAGTACACGTACTCGTCTGGTCTAGTGAGCTCATCTCAAAATAATTCTTTCCAAAACTCTTATTTAATTTGCTAACTGAGAATTTTAACAGTTGAACATTTACCATTCTCATGTCTGGCAACTGCACCTATACCTCGGATAACAAGCCAATCAAAACGCAACCATTAGACGAAACAACGATTTCCTATGAATATAAAATACTTTCATAAAATAGCAATCGTTGCAGTTGCGATTGCAATTGCAACGGATGCAACTACAACACACGGCGATGTCAGTGTCTGGCTATGCATGTAATCTGCAATAACTGGCTAGTGTTGCAGATTTATCATTACGGGTGTAGTGTAACGTTACTGAGTTCACACGTCTGAGGGTTGCTGCAGTTGATAAGTTGAGTCAATAGTTTTTTTATATACCTCTACTAGCGGACCCAACAGACGCTGTCCTGCATATCCACTTGAATGTATAAACAAAAATTCATTCAAATTAGTTCAGCTGTTTGGGATAAGTAACCTAAACATCGTCTGCAGCGCCATCTGCCGGGCTGATTTGTGAATCTAAACCATTCCCAGATCCCCTTGAACACACAAAAAATTTCATCAAAATCGGTCCAGTCGTTTGAGAGAAGTTCAGTGACATACACACTCACAGAAGAATTAGGTATATATATATAAAGAAGATTGCATAGGCCGACGTATGACCACTATATCGCCTGGTGGTTAGCAATGACGCGGTCTACGATGGAGCACGTCGTCCCATAAGCAACCTATTTACTCCGGCCTTGAAGACACCCAGGTTATACCCTTCAGGAAATACAGACTCTGGCAAAGAATTCCACTACTTAGCAGTACGCACAAGGAAGCTTGATGCGAAGCGCTTAGGGTGGGTTGACTACCATGAATCGGTGACGCTTCGCCGATGGTCTTGGGGTACAATGATGGAAAGGACTAGGGGGAATCAAGTTGTGCTATTCCCCCGCACACTCACCGAAATGTATCTTTGGAAAGCAACTGTATTGGCTGTGATTTTTGAGCGAAAATTTTGACCAGACACAATGTTGAGTTTGATCAATATCAAACTCAATAAATCAATACTCATAATACTAATATTCTAACAGTAAGTTCACCTGTACATATTATTTGGTTTGATAACTTATTTCTATGTCATGATACCCAATTTTGCTATAAGTGCCTGCGGTCAGGAATATTATTTCGTTCTATAAATTAAACGCCTTTTACTTCCGCATATCTTTCAGTAAATTTTTGTGTGCTATATTGATAGATTAGTACATTTTCCAAAATAATGGAGGCATGTTCTCTTCTTATTTAATTCTTAAAGTTATTTTTTTATCCGACTTCAAAAAAAGGAGGAGTTTCTCAATTCGACCGTATATATGCTTTTTTTTAATCGACTTCAAAAATAGGAGGAGTTTCTCAATTCGACCGTATATATGCTTTTTTTTAACCGACTTCGAAAAAAGGAGGAGTTTCTCAATTCGACCGTATATATTATGCTTTTTTTTAATCGATTTCAAAAATAGGAGGAGTTTCTCAATTCGACCGTATATATGATTTTTTTTAATCGACTTCAAAAATAGGAGGAGGTTCTCAATTCGACCGTATATATGCTTTTTTTAATCGACTTCAAAAATAGGAGGAGGTTCTCAATTCGACCGTATATATGCTTTTTTTAAATCGCAACAGGTGACAACCCTAGTCTGGGCATCGCGGTTGATATCGTGTCTCAAGTTTAATTGCGACTTATCGGATTGTTTTTCATTGTCCTGCTTATGGCGGTTTATAGGTTCGATGCTGGTGCGGGTATTTTTATTGCCATGGCACCGCGTCGCAAGGGTTCTGCGTAAGTACAATACAAAAACCGATGTTTGAGGAAAAATAATGCATACCGCATCTTTTGTTAAAAATAAGAATTAATTATGAAATAAGGAAAAATCGTTGGAGGTAGTTGTTGTACCAATTGTGTTTTTTTCCAATATTATGAAAAGCGTTGCAGTCATTGAACAAAATCGGACTTTTTAAAAAAGTCCAATTTATATTTCTTAGTCTGGCTCGACGAATAACAAAGATTTTAATTATACAAATTACTACGTTGGAAAATCGATTTGAATATAAATTCCGACTGCTGATCAGTCACGAACTTCGTTTTCGTTGAAATTTAAATCAAATGTCATCTCTTAGTCAGTCGAAGTCATCTTTAAAAGATACACTAATCAGATCATTTGGAATCAAGAAAAGTTATCAAAATTCATGACTGTGTCGATGTAGAAACAAGTGATTGACTGTATAAGTTAGAAATAAATATGTTTATTTGCCAAAGTTAATCATTTTCATACCATTTGCATTTGATTTAACGCAAAAATCTTAAGGAACCCTCAGGGTTGCAATTCTTTAGGATAAAAGTTAATATATGGATTAAATCAAGTAATTCTAGAAAAAAATGCACTAATTTAGACCATTCACAATGCTTCATTAAAATGCTGATCAAGACTTACCTCTTAACGTATTTGCTCCATACAACGGATGATCATAAGGTACTGGGCGATACGCTGGATGGAGGGCAGCAAGATAGCTTAGTTCACTTGTTGCACCAGCTGCCGCCGCTGCCGCTGCTGCCAGCCTGTTAAAAAGAAAAAAAAATAAGACCAAAAATGTTACGTAAATGACCTTAAATATTACCACAGGATTTTAAGCTTCTTCGCTTAAATGTTCCAAGTAACATTAACATTTTAATACCCCTCAAATCACAACCATAATTTCATCATGTAATTGGTAAATAAAATTTTCTCATAAGCTCATCTTATCAAAATGTCGACCTGATTCAAATGCCTGCCCCAAACTGACTTGGGTCAAGTTTTTCAACGAAATAACATTCCTTAATAAGACGAGAGGAATATTAAAAGATTATTTTCTCCGACACTGGGTGTCTTTTAATTACAGAATCTCGTTTGCCAATGACAATATTTGAATGCTTTGCCAAAAAGGTTGAACACAATGACACATTTGAAACTTTTTTCACGATCCCTATTCAAGTATTCGGAGTATCGTCGGGGACATCTCGGTGCGAATCCAAGGCCTGACAGTGGGGTTCCGCAGGCAATAAAAAGAGGACGAGCGCTCGCAATCCACCGGCATCCGTGACGTAATATGTCTGGAAGGTTTTCGACAAAAAACTCTATACAAACAACTGGATACTATAGCGCATCACATGTGAACATTTCGCAAGTCGTAGTGACCAAACAATTAAGGACGTGTCTATTAACTTGTACACAAACAAAAGTTTACTATTAAATAGTTAAAGCTACGGTATCCATTGAAATTAAACAATAGCCAACTCCTGACTCGCAATAAGTAATGTATAAATTGTGTACAAGGCATTAAACATGGAATTTGTCGACTGCTTAATAAAATAGATATTAGCTATGAACAGCAAAACAATGGATAAATCAGATAAACAATGAGAAAACAATCCATTCCCACGTTTACAGCGAAAAACAAAAGTAAAGCGACCACTAAAAGCGCAAAGCTAAACAAAAATAAGAACACAATAGCTCGCGCGCATGCGCAATGCGCCCAGTAATAAAATTATTAAACAAATCAACCTCATAATAATGCGGCCCCAGAAAATTGTCGGGTGGGCTGAGTAGGATAAAGAAATTATCCAACTTACCGGCCACGGACGATTGCGCGCCCCGACCGAACCCGAACAAAGACGTAGCTCGAGAAAACGAAGAAAAAAAAGCTGCCGGCTAACAAAATAAATAAAACAAGTGCAAGAACACTCGCGCGCCTTCGCCCCGCGTGACGTCTTCATGTACTCTGTCCTTTTCGCCCACGCGATCTGTCTGTTCTCATGTGTACGTGTGACAAAGACAGAGATATGCACAGATTGTCCTCTGAATAGGAAGAAAGTTTTGAAACTGTTGCTTGATGTGAAACAAGTTTTACAGATTTCGCGCAGACGGGCTTTTTGATTTGACGTTTTATTTACATTTTTAAAATCATTTTCTTTGCAAGGTCCTTCAAGTCATTAAGGCAACACAGGAGCTGCATCGGCAATGATTTTATAAATTAAATTGTTCATGTAAAATGCATTGTGGTCTTCACCTTATCAGCGATCATTAGCCATTGTTGTAGTGTAACCATTCGAATACTTGACATATTTCTAGAATAAAAACTCTTAATAGACCTCGACGGTAAGTTTTAATGACAGAATGAATAACTTTACGTAATAATCAACGGTTGTCCGTTTTAAGTGTTGTTTTTTTGCTTATTTTCAAGTAATCAGCGCAGCTGAAGTCTGTCAGTTGAGCATTTTAAAAGTGTAATTGCCCCCTCAATGTGAGCGACTCAATCATGACATCATGAATGTTTCATGAAAAACCAGTTGGCAATTACACTCGTTTCTTACGGCGGTGTACTTTTTTACGGTTTATTTAGTTTTTTCGTCGAATAACCAATTAGTGCTTACTGCCTGCTACACAACCCTCGCGTATCTATGGTAAATTGTACCCGTTCTGTAGTGCATGTGTTTTATGGTATTTCCTGAGGTATTTAGTGTGTGCTTCATTAAGGAAAGCATAACTGTATAAATGTATGACTTGGAAAAAAGATGTTAACGTTGAAAATGTCAATTTGTTTCCGAAAGAATTACTTCTGTCTTATTATTTTATGATGTACACCGATAATACTGACTACGGATCTATAGATGTTGGTTATGCTTGCATACAATAACTACTGAATAGATTTATATGGAACCCAGAGTTCAGACAGATCTTGGCCTGTAGTAACATCCTATATTTTAATGAATGCGAAAGTGGGTACACTTTTCTTTTTACACGTTGCAGCTCTGTATTTTGGTGCTTCGTGATATCTAGTTAAGAGGTTCGAGAGTAATTAGGCTACCTACTATTTCCTTCGAATTTCGATCACATGAGTGAAGCCGCGGGCGGAAAATGAGCAAATAAATAATTCTCAAAAAGTATCAAACGGTACTTACTGTTCTTTAATAACACACGGTTTGACCTCAAAAAACACAATACACATGAGAAGAATTCAAAAACATAAAAATGAATTTCATACAGAAATAACAAGCTGTTTCTTTATGCTGGTTTTCGTCAAATAATATATCACTTTATTACGAATTTCATGAGCAAATAATATTAAGAATTTAAATTTTTAAATACTTAAGTGTCCGAGTGACAGATTTATTAGGGTCCCAAATAAGAATTGGACCAAATAAAGGACCTTAAGCCTCTTTTCGGTACGGCGTTTTCGAATATGGCCGACGAAATACACAGCGTCTGTTTTATGATTTATTTGCAGCAAATAAATTGAGATTTTGTTGACTTTTCGTATTTTTTAAAAGGGAATAAGAAAGATGGATTTCATAATCAAGCTTTTGATAAGTTTTTGGATGGTCTTTTTCCAACACGGACGCCGATTTACAAGTTTAAAAAGAAATATTAACAAAAGCTTATTACGGGGAAAGGTAATAAAAGCCAAAAATTTTGATCAAAGCAGAATGAACCTAATTGCACATTGTTAAACTTGAAATTCGATCCAATAATGCAATCACACTCTTGCAACCTCGCCCAGGAAATCTAAGAATATCTACAACTCCACTTTCTACTTAATTTTTTTTTAAATAGAAACATTTCAATGTGTCGTATTCTAATAATTCACCGCTAAATAACACCATAGACAAAGTATTGTATTAAATTTTAGACAATAAAGGTTTAAAATGAGTCACTTCTGTGTGGTGTGTCCTTCTCAGAAGGTCTAAAGTGGTCACCGCGGGGTTCCGCGGTAGGAGTTTTGTTTAAACCGTATTTTATTGTCACACTAGTCGACCCAACACCTGCTTTTTTAATTTTGCTATTTAAAACGGTGTTGAATGAAGATATTTATCGATTTTCTAGAATAAGTCTTTGGTATTTTTTGAAAAAAAAAAACAGCTGTTAGAACTAAGCTGTGAATCTATCGATTTTTACCGACGACGACGTTTAGACGGGTATGATACGAAGGAAACGAAATAGCTTTCATTCATCCAAATCGAAAATCTAATTTAGATCACAATTTATATGATTATTAGCGCAACTGAGCTAAAAGATTTTAGTCTAGATTTCTGTACAAACATCTAAACATTTTAAACTTAAAATTCTAGTCGCCTCACACCATTCACCAACCACATATCTTTCTACCTAGCCTTACAACGAAAATCGAAGATTTTAATAAATGCAAATCTTTCACAAAACTACAAAAGCAAAATTCCTTTCCAAACTCGCAACGAAACCTGCGCAAACGCAAGCGCTTCAATCGGTTCGATCTCTACACCGCGCACGGTGACATGTCAATCGGTTGCTGAATAATGGAGGAGACACCATGTTGTAACACGCTGTATATCGGGACAAGTATAATGATGAACTAATAGATGTTGTATATAGGGGGTGATGTTTGTTTAAGTTGTCTATTTATTGACACTTAATAAAATTCATGTTTAGCAGAAGATATCGTCAAGATGATGTGACGATGATTATAATGATGATGATGATACTAATTTCTGATAGCGGCTTGGCCCGCGTCCTCGTGGGATAAAAAGTAGTCTACATGTTATTTCAGAACATAATCTTCCCCAGTTATTTTATCCTGATATCTTCAGCCATTTGACGTAAAAGAGCAACAAACAAACAAACATACAACCTTTCATTTATAATAATAATCACCGGATTGTTGAGAAATTGATTCTACCTAATACAGTTTTGTCCAAAAGAGCAAGATGAATATTGCACTAAGCTTAAGAACAATAATCGCTTTTAATAATTATGAAGACAAGTCTAGAATCCACACCATTTAAAATTATACATCAGAAACACGAAGATTACAGTCAGACACAAAGAATACATACATAATATCACGCCTTATTATCCCCGAAGGGGTAGGCAGAGGTGAACATTACGGCACTTAATGCCACTGTACCAGTCCCATGGAATAGGGGGTGAGCCTATTGCCATATACTGGGCACAATTCCAGACTCCGTGCTACTACTGAGTATTTTTAAAAACCCAGCAATACTTTGCCCGACCCGGGAATCGAACCCGAGACCCCGGCAGTCGCACTTGCGACCACTCGGCCAATGAGGCAGTCAAAAAATAAATAAGACAAAAAATACTGAAGATATTATTTCTCCTAAAACACAAAATCCTGGTCACACTACAAACAATCGTACGGCTAACATTGTCGCGCATTGTACGACCAGTCCTGCCCACCTCTTAATAGATAGTGTCGTTATATTGGGACGTCACAACTACAGGTTTACTGCAACTGTTATTTATTTAACAATTGTTGCTTGTTTTGTTGCCAATCGTTGAAGATTTCTTTCCTGTGAAAATTTCTTTGTTATAAATGGTATTTTAGCATACACATAACATGTTATGTGTATGTTAAATGGTATTTTAGACTTTTGTGTTGGTATGTTTAAGGCTAATGGAGATTTACTCTGTTGCTTCTCGTTAGCTCGTTCATATAAAAGTACTGTGTTATATTTGCCAGCAAATGGACTAGGATCCTAGTTAGAAGCCGCTCCTCGCATGGGTCAGAGTCAGACAAAGGCGATTGTTA